GGACCGGTACCGGTCCACGGACCAGGGGTTGGGGACCACTGCTTTACACCATAAAGACACCATACAGTCACCAGCTTTGAAACGAGCAATAAATGTTGCATTTGGTCGAATCAAGAAAATATAGATCAAATATATCTTGGCTGATATTCATTATAATCATGACTCAAAAGCAACTATAAACAGGTGGGGTTAGCCTCGATTTGAAGGAACTCAGTGTTTCAGCTGTTTTGCAGTTTTCTGGAATTTTGTTCCAGATTTGTGTTGCATAGAAACTGAATGCTGTTTCTCCATGTCTGGTGCTGGGTGGGATGCAGAGCAGACCGGAACCGGAACCAGAAGACCTGAGAGGTTTGGAAGGTCGCTATGACAACAGGTCACAGCGATGTTTTTTGGTGCTAAGCAAATCGGTGATTTAGAAACTAAAAAAATATTTTTAAGTGTATTCTCTGAGATACAGGAATATCACTGCACAGCTATTCAGTTTCTTATTATTTCTAGGACAGACAAATCTTTAGGACTAAACTAAACGTTTACTTCTTATTGAACTGCCTCAACTAGTGCATAATATATTTACGTATTTTCTTTGAAAAACATCTTAAAACCACTTTAATCTGAGAACCTCCAGTGAAATAGTTTGTCAATGTGAGATGAAACACCAAATTACAGTTATTCTGGGTTTCTGTGGCTTTGAGTCTGGAGGCCCACATGCAAACCTGGTTGAGAGGTTTTTGTACTGACAAATCGGTGGATTGTGTTACTGTGGCGACTGGCAGCGCAGAAATAAACCCCACTGCTTTTAGAGTCGAGTCTTTCTACTGTCAGCATGCACTGCTTATCTTTATCTGCGCTCCCGGTCATCTTTATGTCCAGCCCTTTCTCTGGGTAGGGGTCCGTGTAGTAGACGTATCCCAGCAGGAGCAGCCCGATGGCCTGCTGCTTGTACCAGAGGATCTGGTTGTAGTTCTGAACATTGTGTGAACAGTTGATGTTGGCTGTCCCTCCTGATCCACTGAAGATGTTGGTAGGAGTCTGAAACACCTGCTGACTCAGAGAAGAACCTGGAAAAGTTGAAAAAGAAGAGAAATGATACTGTAATACACGGTTGGAATCAACTGATTGTACAGACATGTAGATATTAAAATCTTAAAATCACCTGGAAGCAGAACCCAGTTGAAATAAATGCTCAGGATGAGGGTGATCAACATTTCTTTATCGTTTGGTGACGGTTGCTCTGCTACTGATTTTGGATTGAGTGCCTGTTTTATCAAACCATCTTCACGAAGGAGGAGCTTCAGTTTCTGCTTGGCGCTGAGGCAGTCTGTGACGATACACTGCCATCTCATGAAGGGAAGCAACACAGCTGCTAAAAGATGCGAGGAACAAAAGATTAAACTGGAGGTTTTTGTGCTGGGGAGCATTAATATGAAGCACTGTGGTATCTAGCGGCGCAGAAATAAACGGCGCTGCTGCTCACGCTCAGATCCTCCACCGTCAGAGTGCAGAGATCGTTTTTGTTTGCGCTGCCATTGATTTTCACTTTGACTCCCGGCTCTGGAGTTCCAAATTTTATGTTCATGTATCCCAGGAACTGCATCTGGTTGCCGTTTGAGTGTTTGTACCAGAGGATCCGATCGTAGCTATCAATGGTGTGTGAACAGTTGATAACGGCAGCCTCTCCTGGTTTGTAGAACATATCAGCCGGAGTCTGATGGACCTGATCGCTGAGAGAAGCTCCTGATGAAACGGGTCAAACATGGAATATTAGTGTTAAATCATGTGAACAATTTACCTTAAAGGATCCATTTCAACAAAGTGGTTCAACGTAGTCTTTAAATAAAGATTTGTGGTGGTACAATACATAAAAAACACCTTTTTATATGAACAAAGTTGACAATCTTACCTAAAGCTGGAACAACATTGGTCAGTAAGCAGAAGATGATGATCATGGTCTTTTCTTAAGCTTAGGATGAATGTAATTTGTTGTTTTATCTCACGCTGATGATTGATTTCATTGCAGGTTCTGTTATATGCAGATGATTTTGTGTTCCTACACCCTTCATATGCTGGTCTGTTCAGAATGAAAGTCTGTAGAAACTCCCACAGGAAGAAAACAGTGACATTTTCTAAGTACTTCCTCCTCTTCCAACTGGTTTCATAGGCTACACCAACAAACTGTTAACCAGTCAGTAATGTACTTTTTCACTTTACTGTTACCATGTAATTTACTATATAAATTATTTCTATATTGGCAAGTCATCTTACTTGTATTATTACACTAAAACTGATCAACATTCTGGTTTTTAGCAGGTATTTCATGAATGACCCTTATTAGATTATTGACCATTAGCTTGTAAAGACTCACTAAGTGCTGACACAATTTGAAATTTTTTTTTACTTCTCTCTTCTCTCTCTGTCTCTCTCGCTGTCTCTCTGTGTGTTTGAATATTCTTTTATTTCAGTTCTATTTCAGTAAGATTTAGACCATATCCTTAAGTTAATGTTAGGAATATATTAGGCAAAATTTCTGGGTTAGACATAAATGCAGTTATGAATATGAATGGAAATCAATAAAAGTCCCCAGCTGGCTGGAGGTACAGGGATGAACGTGTGTTTCTTTCTGTGGCCTTGTTTTCGATACAGTTTAAGGACCATTTTCTAAAAAATACTAAGTTGTGGGGACTGACTTCTCCCCACAACATAGTATGTGGGGAGAAGCCGGGGGCCAGTTAAGGGCCTATATTACAGGTTATAATATAGGTTAGAATTTTTAGTGCTGCTTTCATAAATATTTTACAGTAAGCACATTAGTCTCTCTGTTGGAGTTTGAAAATTATACTTTTATGAGAGGCTTTTTGAAATTCGCTGCAACACAGACTGCTGCAGGAGATCTGTCCCACCGTCTCCATCTACAATAACCCTTTAAAAATGTTGAATGACTTCAGTTATATTATTTGATTTCCCTTTGAAAGCAAAGTGTTGTTAAATTTGAAATTGAACTGAAATGATTTTAGCTGTTAAAAAAAAAATCCAAAAAATGCTTATCTCTTCTCTTTTTGTATCACTTTGAATTTACTTACAAAACTGATCCTGATACTCATGATTCCACATGAACTTTAGTTTGCTTGGTCAGACTTTATCTTTCCCGTTTCCTGATCTCACTCTTTGATTAAACTCTTAATCAAAATGTAAAACATTTGAATGAACTGAAGTATAAAACCCCGTGGGATGAATTGCGCCACTTCCTCGCAGGTGCAGGATGAGATGAGCTGCGATGCAGATTACAGAAACACTGATGTTGGGTTTTTGCACTGAGCAGCAGTGAACCGCAGCACTGTGCTACTAGCCGCACAGAAGTAAACAGCACTGCTGCTCACGTTCAGCTCTTTGATTATTAAAGTGCAGTCCTGGTTTGCATTCGCGCTCCCCGCCATCTCCACGTTCACTCCCTTCTCTGGAAACGGACTGGTTCCTGTCATGTATCCCAGCAGCTGCATCTGATGCTCAGTCTGTTTGTACCAGAGGATCTGGTTGTAGGTCTGAATGCTGTGAGAACAGCTGATTCTGGCTGTTTCTTTGGTTTTCTGGAACATCTGAGCTGGAGTCTGGATGACCTGGTCGCTCAGGGAGGAACCTGAAGGAAAAGACAACAAAAACAGCCAACAGTGTCCGTTCTGATGAGCTGAATTTTAACTACGTTTCTTAATCTAGAGAAACAAAACTAACAAAATAAGCAGATTTCCTTACTTTAAAAAGAAAATTCATAATTTGAATTTGATACTAAATATTATTTTTACCTGAAACTAGTAAGATATTGGAGCTCATCCAGCAGAGGATGAACAGCATCATCTTATCTCACTTTAAAATGGTTCTGCTTCTGTTTTCCTTGCTGCATATGAAGGCAGGAAAGTGGGCGTGGCCGTTTCGCCTCAGCTTCTTCTGAACTTATAAAACTGAGACGACATCTGAGCTGATCAGCGTTAGATCAGCTGGAGAGGTCAAAGGCTCTCTATAAACTGTGAATTAGACAAATAAAAAACTTTAAGCAAGCAAAAAAACGATGAGTTCAGTTAAGTTTTCTATCTGTGTTTATGCTTTTGTCTTTTGTGCTGTCCATCATACGGTTATGATGCAACATTGAATAATCTCTGTAAAAGTTCTTGCACTGTATAAAAATATGGATTTAGTTCTTTGTGAAACTGACTTATAAAAGAAAACCAATAAATCAAATATTCTACAGATCATTTTATGGTGGAAAATGATCATGGTGGAACCGTCTTAATGTTAAACACTGATATATGCTTGTTAGTTATTTAATGTAATTTTGTAAAACAGATTCATGTTTGCAATTGATGAAAATCATTTCATTTTCTTTATGGTTCTGTTTTCTGATTAGTTTAATTGTTTTTTCAGTCAAACTTTCACCCTTTTCCTGCAATGTGCTGATTATCCATAGAGTAAAACTGGTTGAGAAACACTGCCCCCTTGTGGACAAAATTACACATAAGCACCAATCTGAAAAAGGTTTGCTTTAAAAAAAGATTTAAAGAAGTGATGGTCTAAAAATGAGGGTTAAAAATCAAAAGAACTGGAGCAAAATAAAGTTGGTTAGAGGTAAATGAAGAGGAGCAAACATTAAGGAGGATATTTCTTATCAGAAATCTGCACATTATGCATTTCTGAGTGTTATAACGAAATCATTTTTCATAGTAAACTTGGTGATTAGGTTTTAATCAGTTGGTTTACCTTCTCCCTCATGTTTCATCACTTTGATGGTGATTTGGCTTTCAACCTCAAACCAGAATCAGAATCAATTCACGAAACCAGATTTCAGACTCCTGATCTGAGAGTTGAGTCTTTAATTCAATCTTTATCTCAAGTAATTTGGGGTAAAAACAAGCCGGTATGTAAGAATTTAAAAAACACTAAAAAGTTAAAAAGCCGCATATACAAGTTGTGAAACAGTTGAATTTGATTTCTATTGTTTAATCTACTAAAATTGGTACTAGTCTAAAGAGTTGCAGGTGCAATGATCTGATATCTGCTGGCCTCAGATGAAGGAAATCTGCCGTTTGGAGGTTTTTGTGCTGAGAAGCAGAGACATGCAGCACTGTGTTGACTAGCAGCACAGAAGTAAACGCCGCTGTTGCTCGTGTTGACTCCCTCGATCATTAAGCTGCAGGTTTTCCCTTTAGTTGCTTCTCCGTTTATCTTCACTTTCACTCCGGTCTCTGGATAGCCGGTGTTGACGTTCATGTATCCCAGGTACTGCATCTGGTGGTCCTCAGTTTGTTTATACCAGAGGATCCTGTCATAGTTGGGAGCTTGATGTGAACATTTTATTACAGTGTCTTCTCCAGAGTTTTTAATTATGTTTGCTGGAAACTGATCGACTTGGTCACTGAGCGAAGAACCTGGAAAAAGAAAAACAGGGGAGAAAGTTACGTTTTGTGTGCGTCTGAGAGAGAAAACCTTCAATGAGGCAACAGGCTCTTCAGATATCCTGCAAACTGACAGAAAACATATTTTACCTGGAAGGGAAAATAAGCAAAAACTTATATAAAGTAGAAGGGTCATTGTCAGAGCAAATCTCAGAGCAGTTTAGGTGTGTGTACTCAACTCGTCCAGCATCACTCTCTGACTCTGAGGAAAGCGCTTGAGCTGGGAAAGTTTCAAAGTGGGCTGTGTTGAAATGCTGCTGCTCTTCTTCTGAAAGTTACTGGAATCCCAGCATCTACTGAGCGCTGAAACAGTGAGGCTGTGCTGCCACCTACTGACAATAAGAACATGGACCATCTGACCTGTTCAACATGGTGGCGGCAGCGTCACGTTCTGGCAGTGAAAATGTAGAGAAAAATTATTTTCCAGCATCACTGTGAGCCAGGAATATGTCAAAATCCACATAAATCAACCTCATACTATAAAAAAAAAACTTTTCAAATAGAACTCCAAACCAGAGTTCTATGGAAGCCCGTTTCCGCCATGGAAGAAAAAATAAAAGACCAACAGGAAGTTATAATTTCAACTTTCAAAGTCGCTTTGACAGTCGAAATTATGACTTCCTGTTTGTCTTCTATTTTTTCTTCTATGGCGGAAATGGGTTTCCATAGAGTTCTGATTTAAATTAAACACAAAAAAAACAAAGTTCACCTGAAGAGGATTGTTAAAAAAAAAAAAAAAAGATCCCCACAACTTCATAGATTTGGACGACTATTGTTAAATCTAGCTAAAACTAATTTTAAAGACGACTAAACATTAGAATTAAATAAGAATTGTTTCAACAAATTAATAAATCAAGGCTATGCATTCTTATATAATTTGTGCATTTTATCAGTTTACCTATATCGGACATATATCACACTTAGGCTACATGTGCAGACTGTATCTGTTGGCTAGCTAATAATTTAACTAGCTAGCTAACTAGCTAGCTAACTAACTTTACTTTAGATTTTAACACTTTAAGAGGAACTGACCATAATTTCAGAGTGAACTTTACGGCTAGGAATCTATCTGAAATATTAACCGAACGTCCATATCGAAGATAACCACGTAAAATAACATTAACTAACATAAACAGAAAAAAACTGGAATCAAAATAACCCTACAGAAGAGGTAATGAAGCAGCTGTAGCGATCAGTAAGCTGCTGGCCTCAGATGAAAGAAATCTGCCGTTTGGAGGTTTTTGTACAGAGAAGCAGAGACATGCAGCACTGTGTTGACTAGCAGCACAGAAGTAAACGCCGCTGCTGCTCGTGTTGACTCCCTCGATCGTTAAACTGCAGGTTTTCCCTTTAGTTGCTCCTCCATTTATTTTCACATTGACTACTGTCTCTGGATAGCCATCGTTGACGTTCGTGTATCCCAGGTACTGCATCTGATGGTCCGTCGACTGTTTGTACCAGTGGATTACAGTGTAGTCCTGAATTTCATGTCTGCAGCTGATTTGGGGTTTATCTCCATGGTAGCAGAACTTGTCAGGAGGATTCTGGTGGACTTGGTCACTGAGAGAAGAACCTGTTGAGAAGATTCAAAATAAAACTTAAAAATGGGGAAGAAGGATTTTTTTGTTCAAATACTTCAGACGGTGACCTCACTCTTTCTCGAGCAAGAAAGCTGCCTTACCTGAAATGGAAACAAAAGTTAAAGCCAAGATGAAGAAGATGATCATTTTCTGTCAGAACAGTTACCTTCCCTAACATTAGACACCGGAAGAAAAACCTTTCAGACAAAACAAAACTTTCAAAGTGGGTTGAATCATGATGTCTCCTCCTCTTCTAAACACAGAAACCAATCGCCTACAACCGTCTTCTCACATCTCTCTATCGCTGGTTTAGCACGTTGCACTTTGAGTCCTTCAGTACAGTATTCATGTAAAACTAGCATGTTTGGCTGCTCCTCCTGAAAAGTAGCAGAAGTTCAAACTAAATAGAGACCATCTTTGAATATCATTTTTCAACCATCGTATTGTAGTTCTTTGTCCTGCAGGAAGACGGACCTCTGCTGAGTCTCAACTCATTGTCTAAAGGTTTCATATTGGTAATGTTTGCTGCACCCACACACTTCTTGTGGCTTTCTTCTTACCAATGAAAACTAGATTTGTGGAGTGCATAACGAAATGTTTTCCTAACAACAGATCCTCTCACCTGACCACTTGATCTCTGCAACTCTTCCAAAGTTACCATAGGCCTCTTGGCTGCTTCTTAGATAAATGTTGTCCTTACTTTTGGACCGAACAGATTTCCGTTAGATATGATTTTATAACCTAAATGTTCTTAATCTTCTCTGCATCTTCCTCCCTGACCTTTCTGCTGTGTTCTTTGGTCTTCGTGATAACAAGTTGGCATTGATTAGATACTAAGTAAATAAGGGTCATATTGAAGATGCTGATGCCAGCACTGATGCCATTATTGATACTTTTTATTTAAATCTGGCATATCAACAAACTTCTGATGTTTAGGTGGTGTTTTTTTTTCTTTGAAAACCAAGGACAGAATTTAGACAAAGCTCTGTACAGATTACCTTAATAACATATTAACATTATGAACAGTGCAAAAACAAAAATCATCTGAGAGCAAATCATTTTTTTTATTGGGTAGCGATGAGAATCTACAGTGCAATAATAAAATAGCATTTCAAGATGGAATCTAAAACTGAAGTATCAATCTTACTATATTAGAATCAATCCGATATTGATACCTTACACCTCAACAATATTGATATTGTTAATATTTTGGATCAATCTGCACACATCTACTATAAATCTCGCATAAAGACAATTCAGAGACCAGTGGACCTAAATGATGTGTTTGGACTGTGGGAGGAAGCTGCAGAGGGAACCCACAAACTCCATGCAGAAAGACCCTAATAAAATGACTGAAAATGGAGAGTTCATGCAGCTGCAGCAGGATGTGAGGTTTTTGCACAGAGCAGCAGTGATATTCAGCACTGTGGTAACTTAGCAGCACAGAAATAAACTGCACTGCTTTTCTCATTCAGCTCTTTGATTGTTAAAGTGCAGTTCTCTCCTTTATCTCCACTCCCGTCCATCTCCAGCTTCACATCGGTTCCAGGTTCAGGATTTGTGTTGTCTTTATACCGATACCCCAGGAGCTGCAGCTGTTTGTTCTCTAGTCTCTTGTACCAGAGGATTACTTCATAGTTCTGGATGTCATGAGAGCATCTGATTCTGGCTTCTTCTCCTCGCTTTGCCAGAATGTTGAACGGAGTTTGATGAACCTGATCGTTGAGAGAAGAATCTGTGAAGAACATGAACACTAATAAAGTATTATTTATCATCAGGGTACAACAGTCAGAAACACATCTACTAATGAAATGACAACAGAGTAAATGACTGATGTATTAAAACTGATTACCTGAAACCAC